AACAATGTCTTGCCAGGCCCGAGACACCACCCTGCTCGCCGCGCCCCGCCACGAGCAGGGCGCGCCGCAGATGCAGGCGGACTGCCGTGAGCACGCTGAGCTGGAGGCCGCCGATGACAGAGACGCAGAGGCAAGCAAGGCGGTTGCACGCGGCATCTGCTAAGACCCAGGACACCGTCAGGTGAAGAGGACAGCAGTGCAGTTTGAGAAGCGATCGGGGCGGTTGGGGAGCCCATCGGCTATCTCTGTGCCTTGGATGGATGTTTTTCTTGTGTGTGTGCACGATGCAGACCTGTCACCATTCTGATTCCGCTGCGCGTGCGCTGCCTTGCAGGCAGAGGTGGAGGAGCTGGGGGCTGAGGTGGAGGCGGCCAACGCTCACGTCAGCAGCAGGTGCAGCATGCACGCTGCCTTGCAGGGGCAGATGGATCGGCTGTGGGCCGAGGTGGGGACGGCCAACATTCACATCAACAGCACGCAAACAGCAGCAGCGGCAGGTCCCCCAGCAGGCGTTGATCACAGACTGAAGCAGCGGCTTCGCGCCGCACTCCCGCCGACCAGCACGGCAGCAGCAGTAGGGTGGAGGGCGCGTTGTCCGGCATGCCCGCGCGTCCGCCGTGCCAGCCTTGGCGTGAGGTCCTTGGACGGCTGCTGGGCCTGAGGCACTGAGCGCGGGGAGTCAAGGCTGCGTCACACTGGACATAGCTGCAAAACGCTGTCCTCAGACTGTGTGGAAGGAATATCGGGGCGGGACCGGGCTGAGCTGCTGGAAGCGCAGTGTGCCTGTGTTCCGCGTCCCTTTCTTGGTGTCAGGACCTGTCACCAGGCCGCAGGGTGCCAAGGAATCCCTGGAGAGCGGAGCAACGGGAGGGGAGGGGCTTTGACAAGGTCCAGGATGCATTGTTTGCCATTGTGTGATGTGTGTGTTTTGCTGATGCAGGAAACTGAATGGATCATCATCATCCCCTGTGATCAATCATTGCCGTGAATTATTTGGGAATCATTTGACAGGGCAGACTCTTGCTAATGTGCCAATCCTACATCAGCCCAGGTGCATGATGCGCGGCCTCAAGTGGAACAGCCGTGGCTGCCAAGCGACCGCTCGCTAAGCAGCATGCAGTGGGCAGCAGGCAGCGCCCTGTCAGACTAATCAAGGATTGAAGGCTTTACCCTGCAATACACTGTTTTTAGCTACACATGGACGGCCGGCTCTCCCACAGCTCGCTCAAGCGATCGCGCTTGCACCTTCATAGCAGCCGCCTGCAGCACGCAGCCTGCGGCCCCTGGTGCCGCCAGAGCGCCGCGCGGCAGCACGCCCTTCAGTAGTTGGCGCGCTGGCTGTCTGTGAGTTTGCCGTACGCCTCGTGGACCTCGGCCGCCTCCTCCCTCAGCACCTGCATGCCGCACCAGCAGTGGGTGGAGGGGCTCCAGCGGGTCATCACAGCAAAGCACTAAGCAGGCGCACTGCCAGGGAGGCCTGGGCCCCTGAAGGTAGGGATCCAGCGGACTTGAGCGGCCAATCCTGGGCTTCAGAGCGCGGACAACGCTGCCAGAGAGCAAGGCAGGATCGCACACCGCTTGGGGTAGGCCTAGGAATGGCCTGGTGCGCTTTGGGTGGACATACATACACCACAAATACTCATTTCTGCTCACGCTCACCTGCAGGAATGGCACATGCGTGCGCTGCGGTGGTTCCAGCTTGTCCTCTCGTTCATAAAATGTGTCCTGGGGGTTGAGGTGGTTTCATAGTTGCAGACGATGCATGTGGAAGCTGGACCATGATGGTGATTCAACAGGTGCATGTGAGAGGTTGTATTTTGCGCCATATTCCTGACTCGCTTTCTGGAGTACAACTGGTTGCAGAGCAGTCATCCTTATGGCAACACTCAACAAAGAGGGCAAATCATGCTGCACCTTTGGACTGCTGTACACGCCATGCTTGGCCTGGATTTCAAGGGGGGAAGCAGCCGCCGGGGAGGGGTGTAGAGGCCGCGGGCAACGCAGCTGGCCGTTGATGCGCGCACAGCAAACGACATCCAGGGCAAGGGAAGCCATTTCTGGCCAACATGCAAAATAGAACGAGCTCAGAGCCGGGGACATGTGGCAGGCGGCGCCGTTTGGCGCCCGGCAGGAAGATCGTCACTCGGCACCAGCGGCTGACAGCTCACGATGTCCTCAATTGCAGCACCGTAGTACACCCGACTGATGCCAGACCAGTAGATGGCACCTGCTTACGGCCGCGCAGGAGATAGGGCCAGGGGCGTGGGGGAAGGTGGTCTGGTGTGGGCCACAAGCCAAGGGGATGGAAGCATGCAGCAGCGCCTATCTGAGAGTGCGTGCGCCCAGTCTGGTTGCAGGCGTGAGCACAGCGGACGTCCCAGATCAGGGCGGAGCAGCAGGCACGCCTCCTCAAACGCGATAACCATTTCCCCGCATCACCTGTGCACATAGGACAGGGCTGCGAGCTGGCGTATATGGTGCAGCCAGCCAGGCTTGTTGTGCCTGCCGTTTTAAACGACGTGTTTTGCGCGTACGCACGCATAAGGTTCAGGCTGGCATCGGCGCCAGAAAACGGCCGCAGCGGGACGCGCTCGTGCAGGCGCCAGCGCTGCGGCCACCGCGCACACCCGGTTCAAAACCCAACCTGGCTACGACCGATATTTGCCATGCCAGCTACCTCGTGTAACCTTCTGACAGTTTAGTGGGGATGCACAAACGCTTCTGACCCAGACGTACAGACGCCCCGCCCACCCAGCTTCTGGCAGGCCACCCTGATAGCTTCCATCTCAGCGTGCCAAGTCGGGTCCTTGCGCGCCACCACCTGCATGGTCATTGGAAGTCAGTTCGCGCATATATGTCGTGACATCCTGTGGGCCCCCGCCGACCAGGGGTTATGCAACTGGCACTTTGCCCGACAGGTCGGGCCAAAGGGCCGCCGGTTGATGCCAGCAGCCTACGCCAGCATCAGGGGCGACAGCACAGTGCCTGCCGCTGCCGCGACGGGGCGAGCAGCGTGGCGAACACCAGGTGAGATGGGGAGCATTGGCTCACGCATGTGCTTGTGCTGGTCAAACCTGGTTGTACCCCTCCGCGAGCACAGCGCCGTCTGCGCCTACGACGACACTGCCAAACGGCCGTCCAGTCTTCTCCTCCAGCCCAGCCTTCCGTGCCAGTGCTATGGAGCGGCGCATATGTGCCAAGTCGGGCCCAGCGGACGCCATGGAAGCTGTGGGCGACGGAAGGCTCGGACTTGAGGGAAGGGCAGCGCTTTGCGCCTTGCAGAGGGCGCGCAGAGGACGCGCGCAGCGCTCCGGACAGCCGTTTGATGCTCGGATACGGTACAATTTCACGCGCGAATCTTGTGAAATAATAGGTATGGCATACAATGTGTTTTAGGCGGCGCTGTAATACAGTTCGCAATTAGCGGCCAGGATCTAACAGATCGCGCTGCAGATGGATTTGTTATATGTTCAAGTTTCGTGCTTGCAAAGTTGAGAGGAGGATATATGGCAGCGTTGCAGGCAATGGGGGAATGGCGTGGGGATTTCTGCGGCGTCACGCCCGGCTGCTACTCATTGTCACATGGGTCTATCTATCCTGGCGAGTGCGACAACGATCGTGATCCTGCGACTGAAAAGGGCCTGAGAGCTGACAGAGCTACATGTTTACAAGAATGGGCGTGAAAACCTGAACGAAATGACACAAGCATGAGGATATTCAACTTTGACTAGTGTGTGACAAAAGCAGGCACCAGCCTCACGGCCGCTTGACAACTCGTGGGCCAAGCGAGGCCAGGCCGCAACCAAAGCCACCGCGAGGCTACACCACGCATTTCTGCAATGAGCGGTCACAGCTTTGCAGCTGGATTCAGGCACATGTCCGACGGCCCCACTGCCGCCCCAATCGCGACAATGAGACAGTAATGGCCTTGTGTGGCCGCCACCCAATCACTACTTTTTCATCAGGCCGCCGGCGATGCTCCTGCAGGGTGGGAAGGCGCGCACAGGCGTCTCAGCGCTGTGTCAGACCGGTTTGGAGGGAGCTTGTGCTTGACAGCGGACATGCCAGGAGTGAAACAATGACTAAGCTGCGCGGCTGGCACGACGACCAAACTCAACGTAACTACAGCTGGTTGCTCAAGGCAGCCACCACCGCACAGTCAACAGCATGATGCCGTGCTCACGGGCCCGTCCCAACCCTCTCCCCTCCCCTCTCACTTGACGACGCCCGCCACGCCAGACACGGCCCCGGCGCCCGGCACTGGGATTGGCAGCTTGTCGGTCTGCAGCGGGCAGCGGGCAGCAGCGCATTGCGGAGGCGTTGGTGGCCCGCAGCATACAGGCGCCCTGCCACTCGCCGCTTCCCTGCCAATCACGCGCCAATCTGATGAGGGGCGCCCTCCCCCTGATCAAAACTGCAACTTCACAGTGAACACCCGGAGGCCACCCCTGCTGCCCACCAGGCTCATGTCGGCGAGCTCTTTAGCCTGGGCGGTGCATTGCGCGTAGAGCTCCACGTAGCGGTCACTCACCACCTTGGCAGGCAGCAGGTGCACACACGTGGCACGGCTGGTTTAGTCAGTATATATATCAAGATTGTGTGTGCGCGTCCGCGCGAATGCGCCATCATGTGTGCATGTATGTATGCGCTTACAGCATGTGTGAGTGTGTGTGTAGAAGAATTGTGAGGGTAGGGTGCGTACACACGCACACACGTGCGTGCCTGCACGCGACTTCACGCATGTGTGGTGGTGGTGGTGAGGGGGGTTTGCGCACACACGCATGTGCAAGCATCTGATGTTGCCCCTGCTGGCACTGATGGCAATGTGCGTGCGTGCATTCGTGCGTGCGTGCATGCGTGCGTGCGTGCGTGCGTGCATGCGTGTGTGTGCGCGCCTCCCACCTGCTCAATCATGGAGCGCGCCATCAGCTTGAGCCGCTTGTCCTTGATGACTGACAGGTCTGTCGGGTCCTGGTACAGCTGAGTAATGGCCTCGTAGTCAACGTGAGGCAGGTCGTTGACGGCGCAGTAGTTCTCAAAGTTGGCGACACCCCTGGTGTGGGCGGTTTGGACGAGGTTCAATGCTGACTCAAAAAGTGGCGTGTGTGAACAGGGTGCCAGCAGAGTCAATTAAGCAGGTCACAAATCGCTAATATCTGACACCCAGGCAATCGAAGTCGCCGTGAGCAGCATGTCCCCCTCCGTGCGACATCGCCCAGGGCCAGCACGTGCACTCGGCTCGCTGTCCCCTGGACCCAGCTTTTCCCTCCCGCCCACTTGTGCATGGCGAGCCTCTTTGCGTTGAGCTCCCACTCATTGGCCATGAGCGTCTCCCTCAGGGTCTTGATGGACTCCAGGTGGCCGCTGTTGAGGGTCTCCACCACGCTGCTCTGGCCGTTTGAAGGGGGGCGCGCGCGAGGGGGTGGCAGTTGGCGCGTGAGTGGGGGCGGCTGCTGAGCATCGACCCTCCTGGGGTGCAGGCAGGGGCGTAGAGGGGGCAATGGCACGGACCTGGGGCCAACACGCCGGCTGCGACAGCAGCCGCCCACAGACCCCAGGGGGGGGGAAGGACAGAGGGATGTGTGCAGCAAGCCACCCGGCGGTCCGCCAGGGCGGTCACAGGTGGTGACATGGGTTGTTGCAGCGCTGTGCATCGCCGCAGCTGTCACTGCTTTCGGCAACAGCAGGCTGTTGTTACAAAAGCGCGCAAGGCTCTCACAACCGCGCATACGACCCTGCACGCATTCCTCATCCCCAAGATGAGGGGTGCTTGCAGGACCCTAGAGAGGTTGCAGCATTGATGCGTTGCGTGCACAGACGCTTGCATAACGTATGCAGAGCATGCTTGCCGCTACGGTACCTCACCTGCAGTTTTGAAATGTCGAAGACCATGCCCCCCACAGTCAGCTGCTCGCCCTCCTCCTCCC